ACAAACACATACCATGGCCATGGATCTTTACACCTGTCTCTCTCCCTCTTGGTTCATTTTTCTTTGTATATACTGGCTTTCCTATCTTAATACCATATTTCTAGATAGTAGCCTTCCTCAAATTTCAACCCTAACTCGAACCTGGTACCAATTCTAAATTTTCCCATGAAACATCTTTATACCCCCAGCAAATTGATCAACTTCTTGATCTTCTTCTGATGAATTATCATCACTACTTAGATGATCTGGATTATATCTCTCCCAATTAATGCATATGTTTCAAATCCTTCTTGGGTTTGCTATTGCTGTTGTGTATTTCTCCTTCTCCTTACTTGTTTCTTTGTGTTGTGTTTGATGCTGCTATGCATTGGGCTGATTCTGCTGTTGCGATGACTCTTGTGTTTGAACCTGTTCAGTGGTAGCCTATTGAGTTGAAGTTCTTCCTTGCTGTGAAGGTCTTTTAGTTTGCTCTTCTTCTAATGTGCTTGTACATTGGGTTAGCTCAAATGTCAAATCATCAAGCAGTGGTGCCTCATCTCCACAATAGTCTACATCACCATTAAATCTGTCACAGTTATTTTTTGATCCAGAATCTTCATCATCTCCATCTTGTCCTTCATTTTCAATAGCTGCTGATTGCTCCTTCCTTCTTATTGTGTATCTGTCTTATTGTGGATCTGTCTCACCAACATGCTGCTGGTTGTTAGTTGCTTGTGCATCACCACTTTGTCCACCACTTGAGCCACCTATGTACTGTTGCTGGTTGTTAGATGCTTGTGCATCACTACTTTGTCCACCACCTAAGCCTCCTACATGCTGCTACTGGTTGTTAGATACGTGTGCATCACTCTTTTGACCACCACTTGAACCTCCTATGTGCTGCTGCTGGTTGTTAGCTGCTTGTGCATCACTACTTTGTCCACCACTTGAGCCTCCTACATGCTGCTGGTTCTTGGATACTCTTCTACCATTACTTTGTCCTCTACTTGAGTCCTTAATGAATAGCCTCCTTTTAGGAACTACATGAGAAGATGGTTCCCCTACTATACTTCCCTTTTCATCCAACCCTAAAATCAAAACACAACACTTCTTCTTCTGTGCTAGTTTCACCACTAAGGGAGACTTGTAACTATTAATTTCTTCAGCTGTTTGGTGGTTACAATAGACTTCCATGACCTTGTACTTATAAGCCCAGGCACAAAGTTTGTTAACATTATCAGTGGTGTACAACTCTCTTAAACCATTTGCTAGATCCTTGTTTGGTTCAAGGTAGTGGTACATTATGGCAACTCTACCATGTCCTAAATTCTTTACCATTTTGTTTAGTTCAACTGTTAACTTTCTTTCAGCATCACAAACATCTACATAGTCTACCTCTCTGTTAGCACACCATACATAGTGTTTCCACAGAATTCTACCCCATGATGTATTTGACTAATAAACAATTCAGAATCTGGCTCTATAATGGCAATTGGGATAAAATGGTCAACAACACAGGGAAAAAAACACATAAAAACTCACGAATGAAATAGTCAATTAGTCAAATTCAGCCAAAATAAAGACCCTAAAGAAATAAAGTCGTCACTTTTCAGCCATTAAAATATATAACTTTCTATACAACCCCTTTTGTCTGACATGGTCAATTTCCAATAAACAAGGTAGGAATACAACTTTGAATGCTAATTTCTACTATGGAACCCCCAGATTGGACCACCTAGCTTCCCAATATCACCATACCCAAACATATAAACAAATCTTATTTCCCTTCAATTACACATGCATATAAACAAATCTTATACACAAATGGATTAGTAAACACGATTTTGAATTACCGTAAACGAGATATATATCAAAGTAGTCATATCTCCTCTGCATTTGCCACTCCATTTACATCTTCACAGCCACTCCGGCCATAATCACTTTTTTGCTGCACTTGGATCTTCTTGTTTGATTTTTCACATTAGGGTTTTGAAGCAAAAGGGGTGGGAATTGTGCGATTTTCCATGGTCAAAGTACTTTTACTGCCTTTTTACTCTGTAAACGCTCCTGCATAGACTATAATGTCCTTGATATTTGATCGTGTTTCTCACATAACAATGGTTTCCGTCAATCTTAACTACCCGACTTAATAAAAAGGCCACAAACATGCTTTTTTGTTAGATCGAAAACCAAAACTTTCCTTTTTATTGATAGAGGGCTAAAACTTTATTTGAATAAAAGTTGGAGGGTCATTGAGACTTTTTTTCCTAAATGAAAAGTCAAAATAATGGAAGACTTATTTTGTTCTACAGGGGGTTATGTGACAAAAATTAAAGATTAAGGAGTAAAGTGAGAAATAGGGTATACCTTAAGGGGATTAACTATAATTAACCCAAAATTTTATTACAATTACTTTAGAATGAAACTTGTACATTTTCAAGATATCAGAAGTGATGATGATACATCGTTTTAAATATAAAAGATAGAAAAAATTTTCAAAATTTTAAAGCACAAAATAGGTAATTTAAATTGTTACATTTTAAAGAATGTAAGGGGTAATTTTGCATTGATTTGAACGTGGAAAGGGAAATAAGTACTTGAAAAAGCGAGCGATGAATACATTCATTTTGCCTACTGTGATTGTTCCTCCCCTATTGTCGAGACAGGCTAATTTCTGACCACTAAACTGTGGTTGTCCAGCCCCCCTTATCTATTATACCCCTAACACGCTCCCGCCAAGGGCTCAGAGGGAGCGAAGGGGGAAGAGTCTTTCATGCACCAGCCAGTTCCAGGGAGCAACTTCCAGCTTCCCCTGGTGCTGCCACCCCCTCTCAAACTTGCATTTCTTGGTTAGTTTTTTTCTTGTCATTTTTTTTCCTGTTGCTTTTTTTTTTTTTAAACTTCTCTTTTGCGAGATTCTTGGCCAGATGATTTATAGTGTGTCAATGTTGTGTCTTTGCTAAGTTTCTATATGCTATGAAGATTTTGAATTTATTTTTTTACTTTTGTCATTTACTTGGCAAATGAATTCTTGATACTTGATAGGAAAATGGGATTTTGGGTTCAGTTCTAATGTAGTGTTCATATATATATCTATCAAGTCGGTGCTGATGACTGATGGAGAGATGGGATGTTTTGACCTCTATCTTTTTTTTTAACTTTGAAAAGTAGCATTACCTAATAATGTATAGCTAATCATTTAGCATGTTTCTGACCAAAAAAAAAGGGTGGAGGATTCAGTTTTTTCCTTGAGTGAACTGGAAATGGTATTGATATCAACCTTTATTCATTCTTGTTTCTTCTTGCAAACAAACTAGCCTGCTTAAGTGATTTTGTCTGTCTATTGAAGTTTTCTTGTTTGTTTGGTTTAAAGCTCCATCTCCTTCCTACTATGGTCACTTACTTTGTTTATAGAGTTGGAACAGTTTTTCAACTTTTCATTTAATAGATTCCACTTTTTGGGAACAGTTTATTGAAGGATTTTTGTTTGTTTTGTACTTATGGCCTCCTAAAGTTTCAGATTTGTGACATTGGTGGAACCATGTCTTCACTTCTACTTATTCATCCTTTGTCCATGTACAGGATTGCTGCTGTTCATATCTTGTATGTTTGGCAAGGTTCATCTGAGATATGGGGCTTCAAGTGATTCACATTCTATCAAATGCTCAGAACTTGAGCACCGAATTATTCAATTTGCAGGTCAGCTCTATTTCAAATACACACAATCGGGGTGCCAGAATATGTCCTTAATAGTTTATGTACATATGTTTCACTATATTTCAGGTGGATCTTTATTGGTTGCATGACTGTTGTTTGAGTTTCTTTTGAAGGTTAGTGAAGCATCTACTTTATTGTCCCAATTTTACTTGAGACCTCTTTAACCTTAACAAGTGTTCGGTGATCTGTTACTGATATATCAAATACTGTACTTTATTGTTTGTTTCCTAGATGGTTTGCTTAGGTCACTCTTTGGTTGTTGATTAGTGTTCTTTTTGATAGCATTGGTTTCAATTTGTGATGCTTTTTTTTTTTTTGGGATTGCATATTATAGGCAATCGGTGGACCTCTTAGATCTATTGCTGCAGAGTTTCATCTTGATTTTCATTTGCTAAGTACAGTATTTGAGATATATTTGAACATGTATAAGGTTATTGAAGACAAGTTCAACTCTTGACTGAAGCGCTTGTTTGACAATCATTGCCAATTATAGGCCATTATCTCGTCCAAGTGCTTCTTTGTACTTTTATTGCTTCTTGGTAAATTTGTGTTCAAAGGTAATATTAATTTGCCATCTGGCTTAATTAACATAAAGACTTGAATTCTCAGTAAGTTGATTCTTAGGTATGTGAAATTGATCCTGTCTAATGAAAGAAGCCTCAGGTATGAATTTCTTAAATTGGTTCTATCTTAATCTAACTTTGTTCTAGCTGACCCATTTTGGGGTTAACTCTGCAGTAGAAAGTTTGCCTGTCTATGAAATTTGGGCATGCTACGTTTTTGTTGCATGTTCCAGGGAAAGAATTAAGACATTTTTGTAGTATGCCTTATCTGAATAAGTAGTTGTAAATTTGATGCATTAGCAATCGAAGATAGAGCTACTGTTGTTATGTGGCTTAACAATCTATAATTTGAAGGATTTGATGATATCCAGGGATATTTCTGGAGATTCTCAACTGCTCTTGAAAGTTAAAAATGATTATCTGTTCATCATTCTTTGTGCTGGTTCATGATCTCGTCTGATTAATTTGCTTGTTTTCTCATTAAGTCCTTTCTGGGACATTGTTGCATGTTGGCTCTTAACAAAGACAAGTTGCAGGCAAACTGTCCGAGTGCCTCAAGGAAGTTTAGGACATCAATGATGAGGTCTTCTTGTTTGACATCTACTCTAGAATAGGCGGGCTACCAAGTCTAATGACGAAATTGGAACGAAGGTTCTTTCTCTTCAGTTGCAAATGGTATCGTGTCATGACAGACAATGGTAAAAATGAGTTTAATATTGCTAATACATCAGATTCAGATGAACAATCCTCTGCCACAGATCTCCCACTCGCGGATTCTTTGGAAGGGGTGATGAAATTCAATCTAAAGCTGAAGGAGGTTCAGTACCCAAGCTCTCTGATGTTAATAATGGGTCGCTAGCTTCCATAAACTCTAAAGAAGAATCACCTTCATCTAATCAAACGCCAGCCATCAAACGATCTCCATTAACCGCAAGAGAGAGACTTAGGGCAGCTCGGGTCCTTAGGCGTTATACAGAGTCCAAGGCATCCAAGCCAGAGCTAGGAAGCAAACTGCTTGATGCTCTTAAGAAAGTGACAAAGGAAAAAGATCTGGCCTTCCTGAAGCCCCTGCCAAATTTATTTGATGACAGCAAAAGAGGGATGCCAAAACCAGGATGGACGTTTGAGTTTCCTGGGGGATTTGATGTGTTTCTAATTGTCTTTTCATTTGTGTTCATCAGCACGGTGATGTTTGCAACAACATATATTGTGTGGAAACTTGGTGGCATTCATTTTAATGAATACTAACAATGTTACGGGAATCTTTTGCTTGGCTTGGATATCCACATCCACACTTCCACACATCAAGCGAATGAAAGTCATCACAGTTTAGGCACTGCCATCGCTTCTTGCTCATGGCTCTAGATCTGTTTCTTGTAGCAATACATGACTATACAGAGTTCAGCTTGACCAGCCATTAGTATGTAGTAATTTTTACCTAAATATTTTTCAGATGGTATACTTCTTAATGAGATGAAAAAGCTTATGCGAGCTACATTGTAATGCTTTCAAGTGCATTGATTCAATTGGCGCTATGTGTGTGTCTCTTTCCTCCTAGCAGATGTAAGATTTAATTCGATACCTGTAAGATGTTATGTGGAGAATCAAGAGATAGCTGCTAGGAGGGGATCTTTGCAGGTTTTAATTTTTGAACTTCTTATTAACATCGCGAAAGTCATGCCATTTTTTGGAAGGAAAGATGGGAAACCCTCCCCCACCCCCCCCCCCCCTCTCCCACACCAAAAGAATAAAAGCAATTTACAATGATAATACGTAGTTCTCCTCAACCCTTTTCTCCTTACCAGAATTAACTTCTTGAATATTTCCATGTTCTTTTTTGAAGGCAAAAGTTAGTCACCATGCAGTCCTTCGAGCAGAATAAATACTTGTTTGAAATTATGAATTCTACAGATTTCTGGTTGGAAATGAACATGGGATCTGAGGTAAAAAAATTTTCTTATGTTGGTTTTCAGGGATTATGCATCATAAGCTAAAATAAGTTTCAGGGAGTACGTATCCTAAGCAAAATGAAAAAGTTAACGAATAAATCCTGACATCAATCATCTTTTGGTTATCTTGGATTTTACCTCAACTTGAAATGACTGAAACTTGAACTTATGTTTTAGAATAAAACAATGTAAACGAAATCATTTCCCCTCCACCTTCTCTTTTGCTTTGCATTCTTCATTCAGGAAATCCAAGTTCAAATTACATGCAATAATATTTCTTCATTACGAGGACTTGAAGTTTTGAATATGGATTCATCCAAAGAAGATGCAGTCCTACATGAAAAGGGCATCACTAACCTTAACAAAGCAAAAAGTTGCTACAAGTCACAGAGAAATGATAACAAGATCCGCCCTTTCTCTCTCTCTTTCATATGCCTTTTTGAGCTCCTTCCCAAGTGATCAAGCATCTCTCAACTTAGAAAGCAATTGTTGGTTTCCATATATGACGGGTAAAGTAGGTTGGTAATCTGGAAAGCAAGTCCAGACTACAGATGTATGAAGTCGAGAGAGGTAAGGATACTCTCTCGGCAACCTTTACAAGCTTTCCTTTGGTCATGGAAGAAGCAGAAAGGAAAAAAGACACAACCGCAACTAACAAGTCAGAGCTGTGAAGAGATCTTTGACATCAGTAGTCTCCACAGCTTTGTCAGAACTCGATACATGCGACAGGTATCCTGCTAAAATGTACTGAAGAAAAAGAAATCTGAGCCAGTACTACCAAGTCTTTCAAGGACTGGAAAGCAGACATTCTTCAGTCAACTTTTGTATGTTACTTGTAAATGGCATGAACGAAATTGACTAACAATAAGAGACTATAAGTACAGCAGTAGCAGAGAACTGAATAAAAAGCTCAATTACATGTGCAGATGAAATTAGCCAACAAATATTGACGTTAAGATACTTCATAGATTCCAGGAAGACAGGATAATACAACAGAAAATGGAAATCATTCTGAATGTGTTATTTCCCTCCCTGCCCCTTCTATGCTGACACATAAATATGGATTTGAAGTTCCAACACTGAGAAAAAGGGTCCCAATATAGAGAATAGAATAAACAATGTGTGTTTAATATGATCTGCTTTCAGTATATACTCATATAGAAGGGTGAACGAGTGACCATTTTTTGTTGCCCTCCTGCCACTTCAGCAAGCCAATAGAGTCCACGTCTATTATAAGTATAGAAACTGAGCTTAGAAGCTCAATTTTTGTTCTGGTTTCTTCACTTCATCTTGCTGAATCACAATTACAGATTTGGGTTGTGAAAAACTGTGCATTTTCCTCTGTGATTATACACCGACTGGAGCATGTGATTTAGGTTACTTGAACATGATTTTACTATCTTCATATTTTCAGGCAGCGATAAAATTATACCTGCATTTTGTCCCATCAAGCTAATAGCTGTATCATGAAAGCAACAGATAAATACAATAATATCATGTCATGCTCGAAGTATTGGCGTATCAATTGGCAGAATAGAAGAAAAGTCAAACTACAAAGTACATCTAAATATCTGGCCTATTCTAATGGAACCAGAGATTGGCATAGGACTCTTGACAGCACATATACGCGCATTTTATTTTCTTTTTCTTTCAAGAACTTCTGGATTTAGGTTATTGGTCTGCAAGTCTTGTTCAGATCCACATGGGTTCTCGTTTTGATGAATTGCTTAATTATTTTAGGCAACAAAAGTTTAGGCAAAAAATTTTGGGCAACAAAAGAAATTTAAAGCAGAGAAAACCTTCTTAAGCGATTGTAAGTCTGAGCAACAAAACTATAATTTTTAAAATCATGACTATCATTTTCCAGTGGCTAATATGAGCCAAGTGTAGATCTATATCACTATTCAACCAAAGCCCAAGGACACACTTCACTGGGACAAATATCTTCAGGCTATGAAGATTATGACACAAAGAACCAGAACCCAGTACATCTACTAGAAATAAGACTGAAAATGCAGATAGACAAGAAAACAGTTTTTGCATATTACATCAGAGAATTAAGGTGTATATTTTACAGGATCAGTTATTCATAATGGACAGAAACCATCAAAATGTACATCAACTTTATAGTTATGACTGTGCAGTAGAACCTTTCAAGGCATTGTAGCTGAATCAACAAATAGAGCCAGAACGAAGCTGTATGATTTGACTGCAACAGGATGAAATCATAACACCCTTGTAACCAGTAATTACTCTTCAAATCCTGTACAAGTATACTCTTCAAATCCTGTACCAGGAAGAAGCTGTACAAATATACTCTTCAAATCCTGCATCGATAACACAAGTATACAGATAAAACAAACTTTAAATGAGATGAAGTCAACCTAGCAAACTACATCACTTAAGTAGAGTACACATATCTATACATTCAATCAGAACACAAGAAGTAATGTCCTTTTAATTGTTTCCTTGTTGGTGTACTGATCAAAGGTTGCCACGATGTAAAGAGACTCAAAGGAGCCGCAATACCTTGCAGCTGTGTCCCCAGGGATGGAGATGAAAAGTAAGCTACATAAGCATCGCCTATAAGCATGTAATCTGGACTTAGTTAGGTAGCTGAGCAAATGTCCCGCTGTTAGGGCTACATCCCCCAACCATCATCTTCTCAAAGACTTCATATGCTCCATCAGGGTTCCCAGAGATGCTATACCCTCTAATGAGAGCATTGTAAGTGAAAACATTCGGTTCAAGACCTGCTACCTTTAGTTCTTCATACATCTTTCCTGCTTCCTCCAACATTCCCAGAACTCCAAGATTGAGAATTAGAGAATTGTAGGTATATAGGTTAGGAGAAATTCCTCTGCTGCGCATCTCACTAAAAAGAGCCAAAGCTTCATGAATTTTTCCCCATCTTCCAAGTCCGTTAATCATAAGGTTATAAGAAACCAAATCGGGATCAAGGCCAGATGACTTTAACTCCTCAAAATAGTAAATTGCATCTTCCACCTTTCCAGCTATGCAAAGACAATCAACAAGAATGGTGTAAGATTTCAAGTCAGGTCTTATTCCCTCCCTAAGCATTCTATTGAAATATGAAATTGCATTTTCCACATCCCCTGCTTTACCAAATCCATTGATAAGGATGTTGTATATAGCAGAGTTAGGTAGACATCCATAATCAATCATTTCCTCAAGCAATTTCTTTGCTCCATCCAAATCTTCAAGTTTGAGAAGACCATCTAGAAGAGGACCATATGTGCAGGGAGTGGGAGAAAAGCCTCCACTTACCATATCATAGTATAAATCTATGGCCTTGTACACGTCACCAGCCTTAACAAGACCAGAGATGAGTATGTTGTGCGTTACGGTATCAGGCGTACATCCTCTATGATGCATCTCTTCATACAATTCAAAAAGTTCATCAATCATTCCTGACTTCGCAAGATAATCAAGCAACAAATTGTATATGGAAACATCAGGAGCACAACCAGCCTTTTTCATGTCCATGAAAAGTTCCCAAGCCAATTCTTTATGATGAAATTCAAGAAGCCATCAATTAGGACACAATGTATTTCTAGTGTCGGTAATATCCCAAATGACTTTTTGACTTTCAAAAACAATTTATGAGCATCAAGGACTTTCTTTTGCTTGCACTGAAATTTAATAATAGGTATCATGATCGATTCATTTTTGCACAGACAATCAGAAAGTAACTTTTCCATAAATGAAATGCAGTAATGCAATTCAGCTTCACAAATAGTTCCTTCCATTAGATTTTCCCAGAAAGATCTGTCTAACGTACTTTCAACTTGGTGAGCAAAATCCTTGACAATGTGAAAAGCATCATCAATCAAACCCTCTTTCATGATACCAGGAAGGAGAGTGCACAAAGTTACAGAGTCAGGGTACAACACTTTTCTCATTTGATGGTAGAACCAGAATGCTTCCCTCAACCTGTTTTCTTTAATTAACCCAGAAATGATTGTGTTGTACGTAAAAACATCAGGATAGCATTTAACTTCTGTCATTTGATAAACTATCTTCACAGCTGAGTCAACCTCATTATTCTTGCAATGACAATCCAAAACAGTATTGAATGTTATTGTATTGGGAGGACACCCACGTGCACTCATGCTGTCGAATAACTGAAAAGCTGCTATATGCTTGCCCTCCTTTCTCAGTCCAGCCAACAAAGTGTTGTACGTGACAACTGAAGGAACAAGCTGTCTGAACATTGCCCACGCCTCATCTGGACGATCAGCCTTGTAAAGCATGTCAATTAAAGAATTGACAATGATAACATCTGGATCACAGCCAGTCTCAATCATCTCATTCAGTAACTGAACAGCCTCATCAACTTTTCCTGCATTGGCAAAGCACTTTATCATCATGTTATACGTGATGGAATCAGGTACAAGTCCACTCCTTTTCATTCCATTAAAAGTATCTTTTGCCTCCTTAAGCCGACCCAATTCTGCAAGGCCATACAGAGATGCATTGAAAGCGACAACATTTGGAGCAATTCCATGAGCTTTCATCTTCTCAAAAGTTTCAAGAGCCTTG